AGCTGCTCTAGGAGCATACTAGCTGGCAGAGTAACCACTGTTTGTCCAAGTTCTACAAGGAATAGTTAACACCCTGAACAAGATTACCTAGTACTTTACAGTAAAGGTTTTAAAGTCCATAACTTAGCTCTTATGCGCCTAAATAATTAGATCTAGACCTAGGAGAAAAGGTTGGAAATCCTCCCTCATACTAAATGTATTTTGGTCCCATAAGTGTGCTGCTTAGGTTTAGCCTCCCTAAAGAGACCTGCCCAGAAAACTAAGCTGGGACATGACTTTTACATGTGTCCTCCTGGATGGGTATAGTTTCTCTTTGTCTCCTCTGACCCAGAGATGGGGTATGTGTCATTTTTTAAAAAATGAATTCTCTGTCTTCAGCATTAACAAACATTCACTTTCTAAGGGCTTCACTTAGTTGGAACAGTCTACAGAGTTCTTCTAATTTTACATGCCTCTAAAAAGGAAAATACAAAGATGTGGGAAAATTAGGAGTAAAGTCAAACAAAGGAAACTGAAACAGAGCAGGCCTGACATTTCCTCTAGCATATAGAGGGGGATCAGAGCCAGTCCATCCCAGTGAAACCTGTCCTCCAAGCCTGTAAGAACGGTTGCCGACCTAATGTCATTTTGTTGGCAAAAGGAGTCCCGTGTTTCATATACAGGCATGTAGATTTTGTCTGTCTGAGCAAGGTTTAAAAAGTTCCATTTTACAGAATTTTATATAAAGTCCACTAGAAGGCTTACTAACCTTACTCTCTCTAGTGCTATTGTCTAAAGTCAAGCAAGGAATATCAGTACATTTAGCAACTAGTTCAAATGCAACATATACAAGTACAAAACAGTTATAAAATGTCCCATTAGAGAAATATCATAACCTTGTAATATTTCCATATTTTAACTTATATTTACCAACAGCATTTTAACCAACATTTTAACAAAACCATATGAAACAAAGTATAAGCAATTGTAGGCAATTTTGACAGAACTATATGAAACAAAACTGTATGATGCAAAGCATGAACAATTACAAGCAATGAGCAAAGAGACATATCAAAGTTTGAAGCATAAAAATTTGTTATCTAAGCAAGTCCCAATCCAGAATCTGTGAAAGAAAAGCACACTCCTACCTCCATCCAATAATCTTGGTGGGAACTTCCAAATGATATAGGGGAAAAATGATCTCTGTGAATGATCTCCAAATGATATAGGGAACAAATGATCTCAGGTAGATGACCTCCAAATGATATAGGGGAGAAATGAGACTCCCAACCTAAAAAGTACCTGGGACCAGTTCGTGTTCTCTAAAACCAAAAATGAATTTTAGGAACAAATGGAGGTTATAAGCAGAATATATTTATTGGGGAAAGAAAGCTCCTGTCCCAGAGAAGGACAGGAGGGGGGCCCTGAGCAGGTGGTCCCCAGGAAGCTGTCTCTTCCAGGGACTTTCATAGAATAAAATCATGCAGTGAGGCGGGTCTTCCCATGGTGGAGAACATGGGAACTTGCTTAGGTGGGCATGAGGTGGGACAAAACTATGGTTAACCAATGAGGTTGTAAGCACCATTGCTCAGGTAAAATTGATTAAATCTAGTACCAGATAAGGAAACCAGTCATGTAGCAAGTGGGCATGAATACAGGACAGGTCTCTTCCTGTTGGGGGTTGGGTTAGTGACTCTTTTGGGCTCTTTCAAGGTGATTGATACCTATTTAGAATATTAATTCCTGATGCCCATCCCTAGGGAAGTGTGTAGCTGTATTTCTTTTGTCTTGAGGTCTGGCCCATATGGGAGAGTGTCTGTCTCTTCCAAGTGGCAAAGTCACCTTGTCTTCCATATTGTCTCCTTGAGGGCCTGGCCCTGTCTGACTGCCCTATAATACTTCTGTCAGATTCAGCTGCCTACAACAATGACAAGCACAAAAGATAGTGAGATTTTACATTTATTAAAAGTAGGAAAAGAAGCTGGGCATGGTGGAGCATGCCTGTAATTCCAGCACTTGGAGGAAGCAGGAGGATTGCCAGGACTTTGAGGCCAGCCTGGCTATACAAGTGAGTGAGTTAAGGGCCAGCCTGGACTACACAGTGAGACCCTGCCTCAAAAATAAATGAAAAAAAATAGTAAGAAGAAAAGGGGTGGGGGTAAGGGTCTGGGGCTGTAGCTCAGTGTACATTGGGCTTGTACATTCCACCAGTTTACTAAGTGGGGACACAAATGTCCCAGATGATATTAGGTCTCCTGATTCCCAAGGATCACTGAGGTCCTGTCCCAGCAGTTTCTTGGAGGATGGGGCAAGTTTGGTCACACTCTTGCTTACTCATGGTGAGGCTGCAGTTCATCCTGACCTGTGTGGCCCATTGGAGACGCTAGACTTCCTGGCCCTCAGGTGCAGCTTCCTGGGCCTGACAGAAGTGTGGCATGGCAGACACTGTAGTGAGAGAGATGGCTTTTCCCCATCTCGTGGGTCTTCAACCTCCTGAGTGGCTCTGGGCAGGTCCCTTTCCTTTCCAGCCTTTGGGTTCTGCACTGAGAGCACACTTCTTCCCCTGCCAGAGTCTTTTTTGTCAAATATATAAGTGGCCCTGAGCATGACAGAAGGGCCTTGGAGGCTACTGGGAGCACATTTCTCTGCAGGAAAGCTAGTTTGGGACCTGAGCCTCATCCTACAAGGCCTGTTGAACCTCTTACCTAGCCCAGTCCCCCGAGGTGTTGTGGGCTGCTGGTGCCAGCGCAAAAAGAATGATTTGGAGCTGAAAGGCCCTGCGATGGTGGCGTGCAGCTCCCCGAAGCAGGCCGCTTGACGCAGGAGAGCCCCAAGAGCAAGGGCACAGGAAGCCCGCAGCTCAGCCAGCCTGCACCAAGCTGCCCATCAACACTTGCTCTTCCCATGGCCCCTGCCTTATGCACAGCTCTGGAACTGGCTAAGGAGCTAACCGGCACCTAGCAGGGTCTTAATGAGTGAGCCAGCGTTAATGGGTTACCCAGCCTGGTGACATATTCACCATCCTCCCAGAGCTCTCAAAGTCCAGGCTAAAGTGAACTTCAAGATCTAGGCTCTGCCGCTTCCTTTTCTAGCCTAGATGCCTCAGGAATGAGAAAGGGCTCTTGAGTTCAAGAGGCCCGTGATTCCTGCCAGCAGGATCAGGCCTGGTGTGTCTTTCCTTAAAGCCACCTCCACACTGACTGGATTTCCAAACCCCTCATTCTAGTGTCTGCTTCCTCAGAGTCCTGGCTTCTCCTCCTTGCCTGGTAACTGTCTTACCTCCCCTGGCAGGGGCTCTGAGAGAAAATGATCCAGAGGAGTTAGGATGGGAAGGGTAAATGAATGAATACATGAAGGATCTTAAGCCCACACTGTGCCAATGGTAGCAACAGGCCCTGTGTGGATCTTTTTTTTTTTTTTTTTTTTTCCGGAACCAGGGATTGAATTCGGGCCCTTGCACTTGCCAGGAAAGTTCTTATTCCACTGAGCCATCTCCCTGGCCCCTACCTGTGTGGAACTTGATGAGAGGCCGTAGAGGTTTGCTAGCTGTGTGGGGCACCCACTTCGATGGGACAAAGCCGGAAGGCATGGATGGGTCCCCTTCCCCCACCTCAACTCTCAGCAGTGACTGCCTACAACCCCAGAAGTGATGGATTAGTAAAGTCTCCTGGGTCATGTGACTCCTTTCAGAATCAAGAGTGACAACCCCTACACCACCTACCTGTGCCCTGGAAAGTAGGGGAAAAGCCAAGTTTGGAGAGGCATCCCTTACCCGGAGTTATAGAAGGAAACCTAGGTTCCTTAGACATTGTGGGGCCTCAAATGCCTGTGCCCCAACCCCCACTGCATGGACTTCCCGCTGTGCCTCACTCTATATGATCCCTATTTGGATATCCTAAGTAGGGAGGGACCACCTCTCCCAGGGAACTTCTGGCCTAACCTTGCTTTGGCTAAGACCCTTCCTCCTTCAGTTCCTTTGATGTTCCCTGGGCTCAGGTTTCTCCTTAAGGGTTTTGGGATTCTACAGGGTTGGAGGGATCCGCAGCTGTTCCAGGTCACAGGGCCCCAAGGATAGGCCCAGGAGTCAGCCTTCTCCCCACCTGGAATAAATAGTTCTGTACCTTTAAAGCCTCCTCCCACCCTAAGCCTGCAGGGGGAGGAAGGGGAGGGGCTGGGTCACAACTGGGACTGGAGACTTAGCTCCGTGTGGGTAGGGGCCTCAGAGTCAGGTGAGCCAGGCAGGCACGTGTCTGGCTGTGACCCTGGGCTGTGTGACCCTGAAGCACTGCTCACCCTCTCTGAGCTGCTGGACAGCATTGTAGGGGAGTGCAGGCCTGGGGCCCTTCCAGGAGCGCGTGGAGCCTTAGGTGCTGTGCAGCGGGAGTGAGCTACCTTCCAGGGGAGGGGGCCATGCTGCTGTGGACCGGGTGTTGGCCTGTTTCTGCGCTCTGGCTGGGGCTGGGGGTGGGGCCTATTTTGCAATGAGTCATTCATTAGTCAAGTCCAAGGGGCTCTGACCACCTTGAAGTCACCTTTGCCACGCATAACTCTTTTAACTGTTTCCTGCAGGTAGAATACTAAAGAGAAGGGGTGGGTTGTTTTTGGTTTTGTTGCCTTTACTTCTCAAACCTATGCCACCTGGCTGTGCAGAGAGGAAGGTGGATTCCAACTTCAGCGCTGGGGAAACTCTAAGATCTGGTGCAGGGGCATAGTTCCATGCTGAGGGTTGCTGGGGTAGGCAGGTCTTGGGCTCACCTGTGGGCGTCTTGCAGGGTCAGCTGTCTTTGGGCAAATCACTTCTGTGTCAGCTTTGGTTTCTTGCCCGTGAATGGACTTGGGTCTGTGCCCCATTTTTCACTCCTGCAGCTCTGGGATAGTAGTGACATGGCCTTGGAATTGGGCTGGAGGATTAGCAGAGAAACTCCAGGCTGGTAGTGCTGTCTGCAGTGTCCCTGTGCATCCTGGTGGCTGTGTCCTGGGAATCAGCTCTGTTCAGCCTGCATTCATTCTGAGGTATGTGTGTGTGAGGACAAGTGTGAGCGTGTGTGCACGTGTGTGCACGTGTGTGTGTGTGTGTGTGTGTGTGTGTGTGTGTGTTGGGAGAGGATGGTGCTGATGGCAGAGTACACAGTCCTGGGACTGGGGAACTCACTCCCTTATGTACACAGCTGTCCAGGAGGTGGGGAGAGAGCGTGGCTCAGGGAGGTGGTTCGCCGCTTGGCAGATGGAGGGCAATGGGAGATGGAGGATATTGTCCAGGGCGCACTGGGCAGCATCCACAGCTGCTTCTCTTGGTTAGCTAGACAGGGACATGCAGCAACCTGGGGCAGGTATGGGCTACAGCGTTGGGCTGTGTGACCTTGGAACAGCTCTGGAAGTACTAGCAACCACCCCTTCTCTGGCACCCTGCCTTTCTAGGCTGTTCAGGTAGCTCCTCTGGCCCGGGGTACAAATGTTCCTGGATTGGCAGTGAAACCAGTCTGCTCACTGGGTCCTCCAGGCCACACAGTTTCCAAGGACGCACCTTTGACATCTGGTAGCAGAATGTGATGAGCCTCTCAGGTCCAGGCTCTTGTCTGGTGCAGGCAACACCCCTACTCCACTGCCCTGGGAGCCATCTCTGGGACAGCATGTCTGCTTCTGAGTTTAAATGCACTGGACAGGGACAGGGTAAGCCGGAGGGAGCCCACCTGATGTTCCTGGAGGGACTCGCTTGGTGGATGCTGCCCTTTGAAAGGAACTGTGTGTAATAAGGGGACTTTTCCCAGGCTTGCAGTACCTCCTGCCTCCAGTCCGACAGCCCGCCCAGGGCTGACGAACTTTAATCCAGGCACTGAACCTCCTTGCTCCTGTGACGTCAGTCTCTAATGATCCTCCCAGCCAGGCCAGGGCTCAGGCAGAGAACAGCCAGTTCTATGCTCTTCAGATGCCTCCAGTTGTCCACAGGGATGCTGGGTGATCCTTAGTTGACCTCCTGCCCCTCTAGGACTAGGTAAGCACATGAGTCCTTGATCCCTACTGCCCCTTTCCTGCCTGTGGACCTTGAAGGTACCCACTCCAGATCCTGATCCCAAGCTTGGGGCCCCCTGAGGAGTTCTGCAGGGGCAGAAGGCGTGGCTTCAGCCACATGGAGAGCCGGGAACTACAAGGGGGAGGACCCCATCTGTGACCAGAACTTTCCCAGGCAGAAAGTCTGCCTCTTCCTCCCCAGCTGGTGCCCCAGGCCAGAGCTATTTTCTGAGGAAGAAGGGGCCTCTCTCCTGGGCCTCAGGTAAACCCACCAGGGTTACAAGGAGGGAGGGGTCTGGGTTGAGGCCCAGCACTGCTGCTGATCTACTTTCTAGCCTCAGTTTCCCCTTTGACACTGGTTTGGGTAAGAGCCAAGCTCTGGTCTTAGACATTCTTTTAGGGAGTCTGAAAATACGTAGGGGTGGAGGGATGGGAAACAGAAGCCTTGTCCCCCAGCAGGGTGTCTTCCGTTGGACTGGGACATCTGCTCATGGGAGGCGAGGCCAACACTCCCTGGCAGTGTCCTGGGACACTCAGTGCTGCCTCTCCCTGTACTCCCTGGAAGTCTGAGCCTTATTGGGTGCCCTCACTTGGGTATTAGGATGTATAGATGGAGGAGGAAGTGGAAATATGTGTCAGAGTTGGTTCACAATCGGGCCTCAAGAGGAGCCGCAGTCGTGGGAGCAATGAGCCCAGAGATGCCCGAAGTGGACGAGGGGGTGGTAGCAACCAAGCCTAGGCCCTGCCCTACCACTTGTGATGGGAATGTTCTGTCTGCAATGGATGCTACACATCACCGGCCCAGCTCTTGCGGTCTGTAAGACTCCCAGGGTGACTTTCTCAAGAGGAACTCTTGACCCTGACCTCCACCAAGACCCAGGGTGTCTGTGTTGCCAAAGGGCTCTCAGGCATGGTGAAGGGTGTTGGCCTTGTGCAGGGCAAGGAGGAGAACAGGGTTTGGTTGGCCCTGTAGACAGACAAAGTCCTCTGGCTGCATTTTGGAGGGCAGAGCTGGTGGGAGAGTGTTAGAAGACAGTTGAGTGGCGTTCAGCTTGGAATCGGGTCTGCACTCAGCTCTGGTACCCAAAGTGGAAAGGAGGGCTGCCTTGCACCCTACTGGGGACATAGGTTAGTGGTCTGCTGTATCACTACTTGCCAGGCCTCTGTGCTCTGGGGCTTAGTGCCCCCTTCTGCATCTAGGGCTAACGATCTCTCTATTTTCCCATAGAAGGGGGTTCCAATGCTATCACTCTGTGCATCGCCACATGCCTACCAAGCCCTTCCACTCCAACTTCAAGAATGTCCCCATGACAGGCACAAGGACTGCTGTCCTAGATCTTCTCTGGGATGTTGTCTCTGGCTGGCTCTGAATAGAGATACAGAAAACTAGGGGGAACCAGCCGGGAGCTCCCTGGAGGGGCTCAGTGGTGGGCACTGCCCTGCGGAGGAAATTGCATCTGGGGGAGGAAAACCCCTGTCTCTATCACCACACCCCCGTTTCCCTGTTGTGGTCAAACCCTTGCTTGATGCCACAGTCATGGGGACTCTATGGATGCTGCTGTTCTCCACACAGCTGGAGAGAAAGTCCACAGGAAAATACAGTCAGCAAGAGGTCCCTGATGTCCGCCATGCCATACAGGCATCCCGGGGACAGCCCTTTAGTATAGCCATGCTAATAATGGTAGTTTTTAATTACTTAGCACTCTGTACCTTCTAACCCACTTAATTCACTACAGCCTTGAAAAGTAAGGCCAGCACTAGACAGGGAAATAAATGACTTGCTGAGCCCACAGCAGACCCAACTCAGAGAAGCAGGTTGGTTTTGCCCTACCAGCCCCCTTTGTCATGTGAAGTGTCCCTGAGCTTGAGCAGGAATACCCTGTACCCTCCCTGCTCTGCAAATTCTCTGCACTGTGCCTGGGAGAAACGCTGGGAGAATTCATGCAGACATGTGTGCTACTGATAGCCTCTTTGACTCCAGAGTTCAACTGGAGGCAGAAAACCCAGCCAGAGGTGGAGGGAGGTCACATGGAGCCCCCCCGGAAAGGGCTGGGCCTACTTCAGGTCCACCCTCGCAATTTCAGGAGAACGAGGGAGCTGCCTGGTGGAGGAGTCTAGAGGAGATTCTGTGGCCACAGGGTCCTGCGGAGCACCAGGGAGATCCCAGTTATTTCTCCAGCTGCCTTTTGGAGGCACCTTCCTAGACAAGGCTTGGAACTCCCACCTACTGCTGGACGGTAAGTTCTGGCCCTGAGGTAGCTGGTTCCAGATTTCAGGAGACTGTGGGGAGAGGGATCCCCTTGGAGGCACAAAGGATGCTTAATCCCCTGCTCTGAGCGTGGCTGCTCTGGAGGGAGTAATGGATAGTGCCAGGCTCTGGGCTGACGTAGGGAACACAGAAGAAATAAGAGCAGGCCTGTCCTTTCTGGAACTCTCTACAGAGCTTGGCTGCTGTAAGGGGGTAGAAAGGATGCATTAAGTCTGAAGGGGCTCCTAGGAAAGAGTCCCTATTGGCCATGAGGTTCTTAAGGGTCAAGCCCTTCAGATTAACAAGAAATGATTTGGGAGAACAGAGATGGGCCTGGAGCTCCTGGCAGAACAAATGTCCTGGTCAAAGGTCTACAGCCTGGATACCCGCACTTGTGCGAGGAGGCCAAAAGGAGCTATTCTTGAGCCTCGACTTTAGACTGTGTCCCGTGGGTGACAGAGCTGGGAGTGCCCAAGCCTAGACCTGACCTGCCTCCTACCCTCTGCTCTGTGGCAGAGTCATGAAGAAGCAGTTTGTGGTGCTGGGCTTCTTGGCTGTGGTTCTGCTCCTGGTCATTGTGGGTCTCTGCCTCTGGCTGCCCTCCACCTACACGCAGCCTGACCACGTGTACGCCAGGGCGGCTGTGGCCGCTGATGCCAAGCACTGCTCGGAGATTGGGAGGTGAGCTGGGGCAGGGTGTGGGGGACTGTTGCCCAGGCTGGGCGGCTGTGCAAGTAGCCCTGGGCAAGACCTCTGTCTCTCTGGACTCAGTTTCTCTGCTTATAAACAGACTGCTGGACATTGAACTGCTTGCTGTCTTTCTCTTGGAGCCTTTCTGCAGGCTCAGGTCACAGGAGAAGAGTCGGTGACTCACAGTCCTGAGAGCAGGGTGTTGGCCTTCTAGCAACCGCGAGGGTTCTTGTCTCAGTTCTGAGTACCTGTCACTTTGGATAAGCTTGCTCTTCTATTCTGTTTTCCATTGCTATCTCACATTATTATATACAAAGGTCAGTTTCCACTTGAAGACTTCAGCACAGAAAATGTTATTATTATTCTTATTTATTTTTTGGTGGAACTGGGGATTGAACTCAGGCCCTTACACTTGCCAGGAAAGCGCTTATTCTACTGAGCCATCTCCCCAGTCCCCAGAAAATATTACTAATAAAAAAAAAAAATCCAAACTAGGCTTAGTGACACACTCTGTAATCCCAGCTACTTGGGAGGCTCAGGCAGGAGAATTGCAATTTGAGGTGAGCTAGGGCTACTTAGTGAGACTCTGTCTCAAAATGCAAAACAAGGGCCGGTGAGATAGCTCAGCAGACTAAGCTCCTGCTTAGGCAAGTGCAGGGACTGGGTTTGATCCCCGGCACCACATGTGGTGCTGGCCATACCCCCAAGTGTGCTGAGCTGGCCACTGAGATGAGGCGTGGTGGTGCACGCCTGTAATGCCAGCACTGGGGAGGCCGAAAACAGGGTCAGTATGAGTCCAAGCTGTGTAGTGAGACCCTATACCAGATACATTAAAAAAAAAAAAAAAAA